GGGGGGGGTCCTGGAAGAGCTTGAGTCATTAAGACTTTGAGCACGAAGATTCGGAGCCCGGGCCGAAAAAGTGCCGAAACCCTAAACTTTCGATCCCTAATACGCGTGGCATTGGAACTGTAGAATGTAGGGGCCTGAATAGTCAGAATAGTGTTTGGGCCCAACTCTAATACTATTATAATAAGGAACACTTGAAGGAATATTGGTAGTTATTTAGGCTTCTATATTACCTATAGTCTCCGTTGTAGTTCCTTTTTGGGGATACCTTATAAAATCTTTATTATATTTTTGGGTTAAACCAAAAAAAGGAACTACAATGGAGACTATAGGTAATCTCCAAATATCCAACACTTCCCTGAGCTCCAAAGCAGAGAACCAAAGGGATGATCTAAAACACAGACATCTACCCAGCCCTGCACCTTATAAGAAATCGCAGGAGTCTGCAGGTCAGCGCATTCATTCAGGGTTTAAGGTTTAGGGTTCTGAGGGTTTTTAGGGTTTAAGGTTTCGGGTTCTTAGGGTTTTGAGGGTTTAAGGTTTAGGGTTCAGGGTTTTTAGGGTTTAGAGTTTAGGGTTCGGGGTTTTCAGGGTTTAGAGTTGAGGGTTTGGGGTGTAGGGCTTTGGGTTTGGGCTTTAGGGTTTAGGTCAGCGCTGCGTGTTGGGAAAACGTGACAGGTTGTCCACAAGATGCACTCTAAACCCAGCCAGTTTCCTAAACCTTAAGCTCTAAAACCTAAAAGGAGTCACCGGTAAGTCGAAGCTGCCCGGTTGTCCTCTGCATCGGTTGCCGTGGTTCCGCTCAAAGCCTCCCCTCAAGAGCCCTCGGCCGCTTCCAAGTAAGGGCACAAGTTTGCCAAGGCCGGGCGGGCGATATAGGGGCCTTAATAATAAGAATAGGGTGTTGGGAAGAATTATATAGTTATAATGAGGAGCCCCCAAAATAGTAGAGGGGTAGTTATTGAGGCCCCTATATTGGGCAGCTTTGCCAGTGTGGCTTTCGGAGTCGGAGTCGCCGAAAGTCGAGGGGCGAACCTGTGCTGATCTGGTACTGCTTCGCCTTTGTACCCATAGGGCCCCCCTAAACCCTAAACCTTAAACCCTAAACCCTTGTTGGGATTACCATTTGGGATTCTAAATATGAACCCCAAAAAGGAACTACTATGGGGCCTATGGGTATACTCCAGTCGTCGAGGAGCCCTCGAGCTCTTCATCGTTCCCACGTGGCCGCAGCGAAACCCCAACAGTTTAGGGTTTAGGGCTTTAGGGTTTTAGGGTTTAGGGTTTCATAGGGTTTAGGGCTTCAGGCTTTTAGGGTTTTAGGGTGTAGGGTTTATAAGCCCCTGTATCACTCTGTCAAAGCGTTCTCAACCCTGTAAGATCTCTACAGTTACGACCCGATGCAGGCCTATGCCAAGAAAGCCAGAGTCCATGAGACTTCGGCCTTCATTAACAGTCTGGTGCTTCGTAGGGAATGGGGGAATGGATCCCCATGATCGTCCCTTAAGGTTCCTTATAGTAGTCCCTATAACCCATTCCACCATTCCCTACTAAGCACCAGACAGTTAAGTATGGCTGTTGTCATGCTGTGTTAGTTAGAGGCCTGACGTCGAGGTCCTCTGCTCCTTACGAGTGCGTACTGCGGGGTAGTACAGAGGAGAAACGGATCAAAGACTGCAGTGGCAGGCCCAAATCACCGAAAACAGAAACTCTATATTTTCTGAGCTTTACATGGAGAGTGCGAACCACACTTTGACTGAGCAGAAGACGTAGCTTAGACTGTGTCGCCTAGTGCCGTCTAAGTGTCGGCAAAGTTCTGCAAATTAATTTGTCGTGGAAACCAAGTCGAAACCCTCGGAGTATTGAGCTTTCTGTAGAATAGTCATGGGTCCCGAAACCTCCCACTTGAGTACCTATAGAGGTTCACGATTATGGCGAAAGGCAAGATCACCCGTCCGTACGGCTTCTGGGAGGACCACTTTTTGGCTGCTTTGTCTGCAGCTTTCGGCGCAGCTTTCGGCGCATTTTTTGGTGCAGCCTCGCGCAATATAGGCGCCTCTCTTCACACGGGAAAGCATGCTGCCTCGACAGAATAAGATCAGGCCAACATCACACCCGAGCCGTATGGACGCTCAGGATTACATCCAGCTCAGCTGCTTTCCGGATTCTGCCGTTGCAACCCACAGCCATGGTCAAATCTACACCGGTAGATAGCAACAGCAACAACAACGACAACCACACCAGAGCTTGCCGAAAGCTTGGAAACACAGATTTAGCCTTCGGCTGTGCTTCGAGGTGTAAGTGCATATGTGGGGCGACTTTCTGGAGCCCTTGCGTTTTATGGTCATCCGTTTATAGAGCCCTTCTGGTAGCCCTTTCATGGAACCCTTATACTAACTTTGGTATATGTCAACCTTGCTCTGAGGCTCTAAATAGCCCAAAAGCCTTAAGATATGAGTCCTTCGAGCTTTAGGGCTCAAAATAGTTCTGGGATTACCTAATAGAGTCCGAAACTATAAGCCACAAAAAGGAGCCCATGGTTTTTGAGACCCCCCTTCGTGACCCCATGGGCCAAAGCCTTCTCTGCTGCCTTCGGGGCCGCCTTCGCTGCTTTCTTCGGAGCCATGGCTGGGGTTTAGGGCTTTGAGGGTTTAGGGTTTAGTGTTTAGGGTTTAGGGTTTAGGGTTTAGGGATACTCTACTACTAAGTAGAA